AACCTATAATCTTACATTTTGTAGCGTTTAATTGATTGTAAATTATTTTCTTTATGTATCTAAAAGAAATATAATATAAAACTGTCACGATCATGAGAAAAATAGTGCAGAAATGTAGATTTCAAACATTTAAAATGTGTCATTCCCTGGGCGACTAATTAAGCTCGATCAGATCAGAGCAGAAGAAGCCAATTCAGCTGAAAGAGCAGCAGCAGTAATGAAGCAAATCATGTTCGCTTGTCTGTTAAAATTAAACTGGACGACTGACTGACTGTCTCATCACTGTTCCAATACTCCATAAAATTAACTTGATTGTGGTCGCAATTCTACATAAAATGTCTTAAACATGTTGCCAATGGCACAACATGCATAATGAGTATGTCGACCAGATCTTTGTGGGCTTAATTGGGTTTAAAAATTTAATTCGTATAAAATCTATGTTATGGGAAGTTGTAGTGATTTAAAAACAAACATTTAATATAAAACTACTGGTAATTGCTGTTTTCTGATATTACAGTAAGGACTGGATGTTGGATAATTATTGGTTTAAAACCATACAAATTGTATATATAATAATTAAGAATTATATAGTAGTGTATATGGTGTATGATCTCAGTGATTTTTATAGCTACTTTGAAGTACTTATTATGTTAATTGTGACTTTTTTCTAAACAAATACGTAATATGAATGTAAAATTGCATTTTAATGTTTTGCACAAATGTAAGCGACACTTACAAATGCGATTTAAAACCTAATAAATTAGCAATAAAGAACTCAACATGCAGTCGGAAAAACAGAAATTAATTTTATCAACAAGTACACTTTAAAACCATTAACAGACACTTTAAGGCTATATCGCATTAAAAAAAGTGTGAATGATCAGAACTGCTCCCTTCGAAAGTAAACCGAGAAGAAATTGTTGCATGCACCATGAATTGCGTGTGCAGCAACAATTTTTGCATAAATGACGGCATCTTTGCATATAAAATGTTTGCCAAAGATAATTTCTGGAAGGTTTAACATTATATTGAGGGTAGTTATCTTGAATTATGTCAGTTCAACAACTTTATAGATTCAAGTTATGGTCGATAGAATCTAAAAACTGAAAGAATAAAAAATTACTTTCATAATTATCATTCCACGGGAATTTATTTACGAAAAATAAGTATTATAAATAAATAAGTTTTAGTACTTAAGCAAACATTAGTACAAGTGTTATGGCTTTAAATTAGTTACTCACTACCATTACTATCTGCTGGCTAACATACAAGAGACTTAAGCAACAAACGTGATGGCATACACTATTTATGTATAATACACATACCTATTATGTGGAGAATGGAATAGTAGTAAAATTGATTGAGAAACCCTGTAGAAGATTATAAATAAAAATATAATAAAATTAAATCATTAAACAAGAAATAAAATAAAAGTTCGTTTTGGTGCTAATTAAATATAAAGCAACTCCAAGAACAAGGATTTCAGTTTCACACCAGACCTATTCTTTTGTACAACTGCTTATTTTAAAAATATCATATAAACCAACAATACTGCTAGCTTATATACCATAGTCCAACTACTTTGAAACCGCTTAACAATAAGCAGCTCAAATCGCATGATTGCCAAGACAAAAAATTCGTCTATTGTGAATGATTTTTGAAAGTACGTACAAAATTTCCAGTTACTCATGGAATTGTTTATTATTCGTATTTCGTAGATGTTATTTTTCCTATTTATTATTTTAGTGTTAAAAACTTTAAATTTACGTGTTTTGTAAATATGTATTTGCATATACCATATAAACCTATTAGGTGTCAAACCAAAAATATTCGGTTTTTCCAGAGTTGCCAACGAAGGTAGTGCTTATTTTATGTTGTTCTTTTGCGACATTCTTAGAAAAGAATAGACATATTATTGAAATTCAAATACAAAACATGGTCCATAAATAATTATAAGTAAAAGAAAGTTGGATCTCACCTTCATTTGTTCATAACAAGCCATAATTTTCTAAATGAAACTATCAATTTCATGATATAATATATTGTTTTACACAATAAGAACCCATATAGAACGCAATCCGATCTCCTGCTCTACCCAATCTCAGGCTATAATCTAATCCCATTGTATTGACAAATATAAGATTTTTATTTATATAAATTTATACAATTTAAATCCATATTTTAACCGGATAAATTATATTGATAAAAATTTCTTGTAAATATGCTGAGAAATTAAAAATCGGTCATCTTGCCTATGCTTCTGTGTACCGTAGAAGCATGAACTCTATCACAGGATGAAGAAGCTACACTAGGACTTTTCGGAAGAAAAGTTTTCGTAAGATCTTTGGTCTTCTAAGAATTCGCAATGACTACCGCTTCCTAATAAATCATGACCTATATGAGCTTTATCATGACATGTATATAATTCAGCGAATAAATATTCAACGGTTTCGGTAGTTTGTTCAAGACGTGAAAATGGATGACGATGTTCCAACGATAAATGTGTTTGACGTGTCAGTTGGATAAGGCGTAGAGGTAGACTGTATCTCAAATTGGAGAAGGCGCGCACCTGAAGGGGAGTGCTGCCTCAGGCTAAAACCCAGTAAGTAAGATTTTTTATGTAAATAAGTAATTCAAGATGTTTTCCAATTAGAATTTCTACTTTGTCGCAATTAGCTTGAATACTAGTTATACAGACTTACAAATCGACATCCAAATTCCGCATAGATATAAAAAAAAATTTTTTTTATATCTTTGTCAATCTTTTTTTATAATAGATAAAAATTAATTAATTTCAAAAACATGTATACAGATTATGTAATTATAGAACAGATATATAAGACAACATCGAATCATCTCGTTATGCTATTAAAAACATATATTTATTTTTGTACGACTTCTGGTGACTTATTTATTTATTTAAAAATATCTCTTCCATACTTCATGTGAATTATTTAAATTAGGATTGGTGAAAAATAATTGGCACTTAAATACCTTCAATAGACTGCTACTTCCTTATCAGTTGGACACGCAATAAATACAGTTTTAGTTCAATTGTGAAGTGTCTAACTAGCTTGGCCAATTTATCTAACAATAGCAGCCAAAAGGGTCTGATTGTCCATTTATCCCATTGGTTTATAATTATTACGAATTTTAGTATGGTTGTGATCTTTTCTATACTCTTCAAGTCCAATTAAACCCAAAATAAACTCCAGAGCAGAAAAATAATAAAAGTGTTTTACAAGGACCGGGGAAGTAATCAATATGCTCTTTAATGACCGGCATTAAAATCTCTCTATAAAATATCTTTCGTTAAAGAAAGAAAAACAGTATTTTACGAACAGGTATTGCCAAATCTGATATTAAATATATATTCCATTGACCGATAGTAATATCTTTCCAAAATATCGATAAGAGATCGGTGGCTCTAAGGATGGTTAAAAAATTTTTCTCTAGATTGTAGCATTCGATCAAATCAAAATGTTTAATGTTAATTTATGTCTTTAACAATATCGGAAATGCACATAACACATGTTCTAAAATTTCCCTTATTTTAACGTGTGTAATACAATCACTTAAAACTTAATTTGTAAATATTTACTGTGTTAACTCTGTATTTTATTGACTATTGAATTTTTATTAGACATAAATGTATTTAAATTTATTAATAAAATTAATAAACCTTATGCTGAATATAAATCAAAATTATTACATATAATTTATGCAACACTTGACAGATAAAAATATTTTCATTTCGTCATAAATATTAAATATCTTATTAAATATCTGTTCAATTTTTCACAATTCTGCTTACTGCAATATTTCATCGAACTTATCAGTTTCTTCTATTTAGCTTATGGCACCTTAAATATAACAACGATATCAATTTTATTATATTTTTATCACTTTAAGAACACAATTTCAATTAAATATTCGCCTATGTCAAGAAGCGGAATTGGCTATATTTTGCCACATTTACAAGTTCTTAATGGGCTATCATAGCATGTCTTCAATTTTATGACCCTCGATTCGATATTTCAAACTCGGTCTTCTGTCGTAGTTGCATTTTTATCTGCTGATTGGCTTTGGTATTATCAGTTTTATGGTAAATATTTTATGCGCTGAGTGGGTAAGGATTGCATTAAAATAATGCATTTAATGCCATAATTTAGCATTAAGTGTCATTGGCTGATAACACCTATTTGTGGTTATACTTTACGGCTCGTTATGGTTTGGTCATTCTGAAATGTTTAAAAGAAGCCAGAAATGAGAGCAGAAATTAAGTAATTCAAGGCAGTGTAACAGGTAATGCAAATTTTTTATATATTAATTCACAAAAATTTGCATTAATACCTGTGTGAGTGAGAAAGTAAAAAAGACATACTTGAGATATTTTCTCAAGTAGTAGAAATATTCTTTAAAAATTCTCAATATAAATAATGATAAAATCTAGATAAAACTGGTTAAAGATTGTATAATTAAAAAGTGAAATCTCAACGAAAATGTATAAATTATAAACAATTAATATTCATTCTTTTCAACTCTCAAAATTTATTTTATAATTAATATAAATATATTATTAGTATAATAATAGTACACATAAAATATACTAGTGCTATATTTTATAATATAATAATATATAAATATATTTATATATATATTTAAAACTTACTAATATAAATACTGTTTGCATACAAAATACATTTTATATTGTATATTCTGCAGAGCTTGGCTAAGTTCTATACTTTCTACTGAACATTTAAGACAGGAGTCTGAATATATACATATATTTATATATTTAAAACTTACTAATATAAATACTGTTTGCATACAAAATACATCTTATACTATATGTACTGCAGAGCTGGGCTGAGTTCTATATTTTCTACTGAACA